ATTTTATTAGCCAATATCAGACTATTAATTGGTTTGTCTGCCATTTAGTTAGCCAATATCAGACCATTAATTGGTTTGTCTGCCATTTAATTGTCTACCATTTATTTGGCTAATATCAGATTACAATACAATTTAATTTGCCAAAATCTAATTAATCGGTCTGACTGTACCTTTTAATTAGCCAATATCGGACAATTAATCTGTCTCTACCATTTATTATTCATGGTTAAATTTAATAATTTCCACTGATTGCACTTTCAATGAGGTTATCAAGTTTATGTGGAACTATCTAATAAAGAGCTTTTATTTGTAGTAAATATTCAGAAGAATTAATTTATTTCATAAAAGAAATTAGTAAAAAAAAAATGTAATTTCCACAATGAAGCAACAAAAAATATGAATGTAATTCTAAATAATAAAAAAGAACAAAGGCATGACAATTATTTATTCAGAACAGATTTTTTTTAGGGCCAATGTTGCCTGATGGTTGCCACCTGAGTGGCATTTAAAGTTGCTGGTTGCTCATCACACATGTTGATCTGGAGGAGAGGAGGAAGACAAAGAAGGTCTTACCGCGGGCTCTGGCAGCCGGTTTAGGAAGGACAGAGCTGTTGGTGGAGCTCATGTTGTAGTCGATAACTTCCAGGCTGAGGTTCCCCTGCTCCGACATCCCCAAGGCACTCCCGTTTCCCACCTGCAGAGCCATCCTTCTCCCCCCGAGTGGGGCCTGGAGTGTCTCCTGCCAAGATCACTTCAGACACAAGCGCAGGACTCAACTTGCTGCTGTCACCTTTTTCTTCATGGCAGCCTGGAGAAAAAGGAGGTGCAGCAGGGCAAAGAAAAAGAAAAACTAACTTAGAGGAAACCCAGAAGTGGAGTGTGACACTTGTGAAATCTAAGAAAATGGAAAGCAGCCAGACATGTTGACTGCTCTGAAAGGAGCAGTGGGAAGAAGAGCTCCTGAAGCCGACTGTGGAGGAATGAGACTGCGCTGCTAAGGGCAACGGTGGAGCTCCTCTCTCTCTCTCTCTCTCTCTCTCTCTCTCTCTCTCTCTCTCTCTCTCTCTCTCTCATGCACATTTTCTCGTCCTCCCTCCCTTTCCTCTCCTCACTCACTCAACTCACGACTGTCACCGTGCAGTTCGGTCCAAAGCTGTTAATAAACAGGCTTCTTATTTATAGTCGCCGTGCTTTCAGAAAATCACAGGACTGGAGGCAGGAAACACTAAACTGTGAAGACTCGACAGGATCGAGGGAGCTGTGCTCTGCATCAAATCAATATTTTGATCTGGTCTCTCAGATCACACCATTGGTTGTTTCTCTAATTATCTTTCAGACCCGAGGCAATGTGTTCAACATAATGGTACTTCCTCAAGTTATCTAACAGTCAACAGTGGTGTACCACAAGGCTCAGTCTTAGGACCCACCCTCTTTACAATCCTCATAGGTAATGTAGGTCGGTGCTTCCTTGATGCATCCTTACATTTCTATGCTGATGACACAGTTGTTTATTGTCAAACTAAAACTGTTGCTAAGGCTTTCCAGCGTTTGCAATCTGCATTTAACATCATCCAGTCTGATTTGTTCCACCTCAAACTTGTCTTAAATGTCGATAAAACCAAAGGGATGCTTTTTTCAAACAGGACGTCAGTCCCAGCAGTTCTTCCTCTGATTTTATCCTCAAATGGTGTCCCCATTGAATTAGTCAATTCCTATAAATATTTGGGTATCTTGGTCGACTCTAATCTGTCTTTTTTAAGTTTCACGTGGAAAACCTAGTAAAGAAACTGAAAGTTAAACTGGTTTCTTTTTCAGAAACAGATCCTGTCTAACTCTGAATGTTGGGAAACATCTTGTATCTGTGACTTTCCTTCCCTCCATTGATCACGGTGACATTATTTACATGAACGCTCCTACAAGAACCCTGCAGATGTTGGATGCTGCAGATGTTGGATGCTGTCTATCATGGTGCACTAAGATTCATAACTGGCTGTAACTAACGTACCCACCACTGCACCCAGTATCCACTGGTTAACTGGACACCATTAACTTCACAGACTCTCCCACTGGTATATTTTCATCTTTAAATCACTTCTTGGTCTGCTGCCTTCATACATCTCCTCCTACACGTCTCTGCGTGAGTGCAGCTACAGCGTGCGCTCTCAGGACATTATTACCTGCAGTGTTCCCTCAGTGAGGACTGAACTAGACAAAGGGCCTTCTCCTACTCCACTCCTGTTTCCTGGAATATCTTGCAAAAAGATCTGAAGCTCTCGACCTTTGACCTCTCTAAGTGGCTTCAAACATCTGTTAAGTTCCTGGCAAGAACCAATGCAGATATGTTCCTGTTTCTAGTTTTCTACATTGCCTTATAATCGAGCTGTTTTTTGTTACTTTTCCTTTTGGTTGCTATTTTATTTTAATATGTAAAAAACAAAAAATCTGTACGCCTCTTTTATGATTGTCTATTGTTGTCACTGTTGTCATCACTCTGTTAAAATCAGGTCTCTCTTGTAAATGAGTCCCCGAGGCTCAATGGGATTAACCTGTCTAAATAAAGGTTGAATTAATATTTAATGGAAGATAAAATGCTAATGAAAGACATGCCACATTCATTTTCATAATTTCAGAAATTAGGTTTAACTTAACTTTGAGTTCACTTACTCTGAAGGAGCAAAGACCAATAGCAATTAATCAAATCACCTCTGAGTATCTTAACCCACCTGCTGCCCTTGGGTCAAATGACCCACGAGGCCTTGTAGGTTGTTTTGGCTCAAGGGTAATTCTGAGTCTTACACCCTCAACCCTGGCTTTATTGAGTACACAAGCCAAGCACCAAAAAAACCTATTCTCATTAAAAGCAGGAGTAGGTCCTCCTTCATGTTTCTTAAAATAATATACCATCAAACATAAATGGCTGCTCTTGCACTACTTCTGTCCACATGGGTGGAAAGCTCAGGTCCTCTACCAGAGGTCTGGAAACCTGAGATTGAAGGAGCTCTTTAAAAAACTATTTTAAAAGTATGTAGTTGAATCAAAATGCTGCTGCCACTGTTCTGATTAAGTTCAAGTTCAAGAATCTTTATTATCCCCAAGGGAAAAATTGTTTCAAAGTCGGTCACATAAAGCATCCATACTACACAAGACATTAAAATAATACATGAAATTATCACTGTTTGTTGAGAAGCCTGATCTCTACAGGGATGAATGAGTTCTTCAGTCTGTTCATCCTAAATCTGGGCAGCAGATATCTGCGTCCAGATAGAAGCAACCTGAACTCATCATGGAATGGATGAACAGGATCTGCCAGAATCAGCCTGGCCTTGTTCACTGACCTCGCCTTGTGTAGGTCAGTGGGGTTCTGTAGGTCAGTGAGGTTCTGTAGGCCTATGCCAGCAGTTTTGCTGCACATCCTGACAATCCCCGGGAGTTTGTTCCTGTTTTTGCATATCAAAGGCAGAGATCATATCTCTCCAGTTTTAGTTTCTCTCCATTGGCTTCCTGTCAAATCCAGAATAGAATTCAAAATCCTACTTCTAACTTACAAAGCGCTCAACAACCTAGCTCCATCTTATATTACAGATCTTACTGTTCCATATTTTCCTAACGGAGCACTTCACTCTGACTGCAGGTTTACTTGTGGTTCCTAGAGTTACTAAAAGTTGAATAGGAGGCAGAATTTTCAGTCATCAGGCTCCTCTCTTGTGGAACCAACTTCCAGTTTCTGTCTGTGAGGCTGACACATTGTTACGTTTTAAAACTGGGCTTAAGACTTTCTTTTTTAAATAAAATCCTATAGTTAGGATATGCTTAGTTGCGTTGCTATAGGCTTAGACTGCTGGAGGACACATTGACACACTTCCTCACCCTGCTGCTGTCTTTACGTACACTCAAACACTACCTGGTTGTATTTGTAAATATTTCTATCATTAACTTGTTTTTCCTTTTTCTTCCCACAGAAAATACAACTGGACTACGTCCTATTTGTCTGTCTCTTTTCTGTCCACTCTAACCCCAACCGGTCAAAGCAGGTGGCGGCCCATCCTGATCCAGGTTCTGCTGGAGGTTGCTTCCTGTAAGAGTTTTTCTTTTCCACTGTCGCCATAGTGTTGCTCAGGTTTGGAGTTGGCAATAATGTGAAGATTCAAAACAACTTGATGACTTCGTTAGATAGATAACGTTTATTAATTGGCATTTTATAACGTATGTGAATGTTTTTGTACGGCACCCTGAGATGACCTTTATTATGAACAGGCGCTCTTTAGATAAACCAAATTGAATATCTTGTTCTAGTAGTTCATGACACTTCAGGTGTCTTGGTTTCAACATTTAACCCATCATGGTGTTGTTGCTCATTACAGAGTCAAGACTGTGGCACCAGGGATTGAACCCCTGATGTTCCTCTTAAGTCATGTGCCCTAACCACTGCACCAACCTACCAGCTTTTTCTATTTTACAGCAATAGTCTTGTCCCTCAATATCCCGCTTACTGAATCATACGACCTAAAAGTTGTTGCCATTTTAGTGTTTACTAAGTTTGATTAGCAGTGGCTGCCATCTTGAATTAGATTGGCTCCAAAAGTTAATGTTAACAAATGGTTACTTTTTTAGATATTTTGCTAATGGACAGGCGAGAAGACGTAGAACATCAGGGCAGGCAGATGCAAGTTGGCAAACGAATAATAATGTGATACGTTTTCAATTCAGTTTATTTCTATAGCGCCAAATCACAACAAAGTTGTCTCAGGGCACTTTACAGGAACATTCACATAAAAGCCAATTAGTAAAGTTCTCTATCTAAGGAATCCAGCAGACAAGTTGAATCTTGGCTTCGTTGCCGTCTCCCATCCTGAGCAAGCACAGTGGAGACAGTGGAAAGAAAAACTCCCTTTTTAACAGGAAGAAACCTCGAGCAGAACCAGGCTCAGGACAAGCGGCCATCTGCTTTGACCGGCTGGTTGAGAGGAGAGGAAGGAGAGGAAGGAGAGGAGGGAGAGACGGACGAACACAGAATGGTAGGTCCAGGTATAGGTCCAGGTCCAGGTATAGGTCCAGGTCCAGGTATAAGTCCAGGTCCAGGTATAAGTCCAGGTCCAGGTGTATCTGAAAGACAAAAAAAAAACCATGTTAAAGATAGAAAAAATAATTACAAATACAAAACAGGTTGAGCAGAGTAAGTAAAGACAGCAGCAGAGTGAAAATTGTGGTCAGTTTGTCCTCCAGCAGTCTAAGCCTATAGCAGCATAACTAAGGGACAGCTCAGGAAACCCAAGCTGACCCTAACTATAGGATTTATCAAAAGGGAAAGTCTTAATCCCAGTCTTAAAACTGGATAATGTGTCAGCCTCATGGACAGAGATTGGCAGTTGGTTCCACAAGAGAGGAGCATGAGAACTGAAAGATCTTCCTCCCATTCTGCTTTTGTAAACTCTAGGAACCACGAGTAAACCTGCAGTCTGAGAGCGAAGCACTCTGTTAGGAAAACATGGAACAACAAGATCTCAAATATAAGATGGAACTAGGTTGTTGAGAGCTTTGTAGGTTAGAAGTAGGATTGTGAATTCTATTCTGGATTTGACAGGGAGCCAATGGAGAGAAGCTAAAACTGGAGAGATATGATCTCTCCCAGTAACTCCAGTTAAGACTCTGGCAGCAGCATTTTGGATCAGCTGAAGACGTTTTAAAGAAGTATTTGGACACCCAGAT